AATTATAATCGCTAAAATGTCTGTTACCTTAAAGTGTCTTACTGTCACCTTAAAGTAGATGTATTTCTAGGTGTACCTGCAAAAATTTAGTGTTCTGTATTCAAAATTTCTGAAGATGTACATAAATGTATATATTGGTATATTTTGAAATTTGGCTTATTTGTTACAAGTGATAATAATGCCATATGTGGTTATAATGCACCACTTTGATATAACCTTCTGTGAATTGCAATAGTTATTTTAAACCTAAAATTTTCAAATAAACTTTTACTGAGGATAATTAATGAGGAAATTCTTTATTTTCATTTTTATTAATAATGTTTAATGCTATTTTTTAAATTTATAAAAGACATTAATGAAAAGTTTAAAGGAAATTTTTTTTGGGGGGGGGGGCTTTCATATGAGTAAAATTTACCTTTGCCATTTTATCATCTGCTATTTTACTAATTTCATTTTATATGCAGTGAATTTTTTTGCAGATTTCATAATTATGCATCATATATATATATATATATATATATATATATATTCAATACTTCCATGTACATCAAAAAATAAATAAAACATGCTGTCTTCTGTACAGAAATATTTAATTTTGGAAAATTTACTAGAATAAAAGGTTTTTACCTTTTTCTTTGTGTGTAGTAAAGGCAATAAATAAAAGTGATTTTGGAGATGTTTTATAGCAAAAGCCATTTTTTTGGTCTTTACTGCATAATAAATTTCCTAAACAAACTGTTGTTTATATTTGAAAGGGATCCTAACTATCATCAAATTACCCTTTTTTCAAAACAAAATATATTTTATGGGAAGATGGGATTTAGAATAAACACATTTTTAAAGGCCAAACTGTAATTTGTCAAGACCTGAATTCTAATCATTAGTAATATAATAAATGATTATTATTGTTGCATTTATTTTCATATTATTATTTCAGGTGTATTTCTGTTATATTAGAACTTATTAAAATTCTTCATATAAAATAATTTCAAAAATTAAAAAAGTTCTTCTGCTTTGACTTATTGCTAATTTTATATCAATCAGAATTCTAACACCTAAACTTCTAATCTTTCCAGCAACTCTGCCGAAAAGTACAAATTAAGTGAGTGACATTGCCAATTCAACCATTTGCACTGTATCTATCAAAATCCTCCCAACTGGATAATTGCAATAGGCTTTGAGTTTCTGATTTTCTTAGTTTAAAAATTACTCAGATTGGCTGGTTATCTAAATATAATAAAGCACATGGAGACTATCTGCCTAAGGATAGGAATACCTTCATTGAGGACTTTCCTAAGGAAAAGTTCCTCGTATTTACATTGTACATGTGGAAAATCACAAAAACCATGCAGCCAGCTCGTTTGATTGAGTTGGTTTCTGGGACAAACTCTCAGTAGTCTTTAAAATCTTTCATCCATTAGTGGAGCTACTTGAATTAAGAGCTAGTTATTAGATCTGCTTTGCTTAAAAATTATATTTTGGCTTTAGCATTCTCACTAACCAATGCTTTAAATATGCAACAGTAAAAATATATTAGCCAACTTATTTTATTTAATGTGTAGTCTTAGATTATATTATGGCTATCCAAATTTAATTGTCTGTAATCTTAATTTAAAATATCCACAACTTGTAAAAATTTTGTCCATAGCACAAGTTGTGCCTTTGTTAGAGTTTTTTTAGAGTTTGAACTTTAACCAAGAGTAAAAGTATAAATATTATTTGAACTTTCTTCCGTATTTTATGAGTTCCTCAAAAAGTAGTGATAACTTGCTATCTGTCTAAAAGGATCTGCTTGATGATAACTCTAGTGTCCAGTTGTAGTAACAACCCTACAGACTCTTAATTTATTATTCGACTTGCAAATATTTAAAATATTATATACTCAAATCTGTTTTTTGCAGGTTTTTTTTTCATTTATGTGTATGAAAATTTCAGTTAAATTGAAACATAATTTACAAAGTTATCAATAAAAAAAAGGGAGCTTCAATCTTGTATATCTGGCTACTGAGACATATACGAGTGTCTAGTGAAAGAACAGTCGTCTCAAAAGCTAATCACTAACTACATGGTAACTGAAAAAAAGTCAACTTTAAACAACTCCATTTTTTATAGCTACTCATGAAATTTTGTGCAATTTTTTTTAATGTGGTCCCTATCCACCCTACAAAAAACAGGTTTGAGTATATCTCAGCCACAAACAGCAGAGTTTTGTTAATGCATTAATTTTTAAACTACCAAGCTGTAATGCAAATGAATGTTCAGTTACATTTTATATTATTGCATTCAGTTACTGTTCTTGAAATCTAAGCTAAAGATGGAATAACTTTTTCCCTGTATTATTCACATGGTAAGATTAATGAGGTGTTTAGATTAAGTGGCATAAGGTTTATCTTACAAGCTCTGGTGTTAAAACAGTGCTGCAATTTTAAATGTTTTGTTGTTTTAAATGTTTAAATGCTATTCATAAAATGCTGCAGTTTTAAATGTTGCAACTTTAAATGATTGTTTGTTTGTAAATATCTAACTTAAATAGCTGAGAATTAAGCAGACAATTGTTAATCATGTTATTCATTAGGAAACCATTGTATTGCACAATAATCCATCGTCTCACAGCTGAATAATCACTTTGTAGAACCTCTGTGTTGAAAATAAGTATGTGTACACTGTCATCCTGTGTGTATTCTAGATTTATTTCTTGCGATTATTTTGCTTCATAAAACTCAAGTGTCCTTTCATAAGAAAGTTTTTCCTATCTTGGAAGAGGTAAAAGGAATGCAGCATTCTACTCTTAGAGCTGTGCAAAAAACAGACCTCTTCTAACTTTCCCTTTAGTTACTTGTTGTGTTTGTATTTTTTCTCCATTATTATTATGTGCTCTACTAGTAAGCATTGCACAACAAGATAGGGATGTCCTTTGGAAGCCTTTTTAAAGAAAACTGGCTCATATTTATATTACACACGTAGAAAGTCATGAATGCGGCCATGCAGCTAGCCCGTTTGCCAGAACACAATCCCGGACCAAACTACCAGTATTCAGTGGCTTTAACTGTTCAGCCATTGGTGGGCTGTCAGGTTTGTTTTAAGACAGGAATTTCTGTCAGTGTAGATTCTGCAACATTTCTATTTTTTGAATGCAGCCTGATTACTTAATTGCTATACTGTTGATATACATTAAAACTTTGTTTATTTGAACTTCAATTAGTCAGAGTGATTGTCAGAACTAGAAACTGCAAGGTAAGACAAAGCAAATTTTGAAACATACTATTCGAAACTAATACTGATTCAAAGTTTTAATACTTATTTTTTGATAATTGTGTTCCTTCAATTTTGGCTTATTGAAACTTGATCATATTTGGATTGATTATTCCATAAAAGCAAAAATCGTATGCGAAATATACGTTTATCGTAGTGCTAACTAAGTATTTAATAATGTAAATTAAGTTTATAAGTTTGATGTAATTGGTCGTACCTCATCTTTTAGTAAAAATATATCAAATATAAATTTTATATTAATCCTCTTACAAAGATTGTTTTAAATAGCTAGATTTTTCTCATATTATTACAAATAATTTAACCGTTTGACTGCTACGTGGTGCAAAAGCTCTGCATTCATTTGTCTCGAAAACTGCAATGCAGTTAGTTATTTTAGAATGCACTTGTGTTGCAAAGCACACGTGAGGTCAAACTACATACATTCACACCCACGGAGCAACAAAGACACGCTGAAACTCGCAGCGCAATGATTTTCGAGACAAATGAACACAGCGCTTTTGCGCCATGGAGCAGTCAAACGGTTAAAAACATATGTTTTTTAATATGGCATTTATTGGCCATCAAAAATACTTGCACCCAAAATGAATATCAGATCACTAGGACAGGATAAATGCAGAATTCTGTTAACCAAAAAATTTGAGAGATGCTTTATTCCACTATTATTTGGTAAGCATTTAACTAAACTATGTTTAAGCTTAATTCGCAGTTAAAATGTCTTGAAAATGAAAAGCAGTCTCCTTCAAAGATACAACTAAGTGGCTTAAAATAGGTTGCCATAAACCGAGAAGTTCTCCAAGTGAACCAATCATGGCACAAAGTAAAATATATATATATATATTAAGGTAAATTTCCAAATTACTAATAAAATTTTACACCAGATTTTTTACAAAAATTGGTTTTTAGTGATAATTTGAGTCCTAGAACTAAAAGATGGGAAAAAATTGGCATGCCATTGCAGAAGATGTCCAGTTTTGTGTCAAAATATGTGGGCTAGAACAATATTGTATAGAAATCTAATATATCTTAAGTCATGCTTTCGTGACATAAAAAATGCAAGTTGAATTAATGGGCCGAGTAGAACGGGAGATACAGAACTGTTCTCCCCTTTTTTTGAATGTATGTGCCAGTAGGGTGTTGTACTTCATTAGTATTTATGCACACTTTTAGCTGCTTCAGTAGTGTAAAAAAGACGGACCTTGTTTTATTTTAAATTGAATTGAAAATTAAAGCACTGCAGGAAGACAGAAGTTATAGTTTATTTATCATGCTTTGGCTGGAAACTATTTTAGAATTAATGTTAAAGTGTATTTTTATTGTATATAATAATAAGTAAACTAAAGAACTATAGTGTGATAATTGTGAATCCTGATCTTGATTTTTATTCATAGTATGCAAGGTATACTATGTTATAAATGATTTTCGTTATCTGCTGTGCATAACTGCTGGTAATGGTGGTGGGAGAGCTTCTATTATCCATCTGTTCTCTTATCTTTCGTGAGAATGGTCCCCAGACGGGCAGATAATGAACATGCCATTGTAATATCTTTACATATTGATGTATTGGCTAGATGTGTTACCATTCTGGTTTCATTTTACATTTAAATTAGGATGACCTTGTTATATGTTTATCATGACTTATTTTGCATCTCATTAATGATATTTGCTGTATTATAAAACTAAAACCTTTCTGATTAATACACTCATCTCATTTGGACTTGTTCTTTAAGGGTAGATATTCTTCTGAATTGAATCTACCGTCTGATACTGCACGACAAAGAGAATTAATTGCTAAATTAGAGGCGAAAAACAGGTAATTTTGAAACAATTTGTAATTCTCTTGTCTTGCTGATTGCAATTCCTCTTACCTCTGTTTTGAATAAAAGCTATTTTATTTCTTCAAAAAAGAAGTACATATATTAAAAAAATAACAATCTTGTTTGTTAGAATTTAGAAATATATTCATATGCAGACTGAAATATAAATGAATTATTATGTAAAGAATCAGAGAATATAATATTTCTTTTTATTTTAATAATATTTTCTTTTAATTTAATACGCATATTACAGAAACGCTGTATTCATTTCAATAAATGAATGAAAATTTTATTCATTTATTGAAATGCATTCTTCAGGTGTTGCATTAGGAAATAGCTTATGGAAAGATTATTTGACTGATTTACCTTCTATTACATATAGAATAATAAGACTGGTTTGTCTTCTATTACATATAGAACAGCAGTAATTTTCTAAATTACATTTTAATGAAATTTTGTATGTGTTTTCGTTCAGTTGATATGTACTGTCATGGATTCAAAGACAAACAATATTTTCTTCATTCAGTTTGTGTAAAGGAATGTCCATCTCTTTTTAATCATTCCCTTACTTGCCAGATTGGAATTCCAGTTCCTAGAAGAAAGTTTGGCCTTCAAAGACACCTGATATCTTTTCAAATTTTTTGGAAAGGGCAGTGAAGGAATGAAAGTGCATTTCTAGTAGTTGATTTCTGTGAAGGCATTAAGATGCTGAATGAATGTAATAAGAGATGTATAGCATTACAAGAAATATATGTAGAAAATTAAAGAGTGTGAAGTTGTTCTCATCTAGTCATGATTCGTTATGAATTTAGTCTTAGTACTTTGTAGATACATAGTGTATTTGTTGTTCTGTCTATATTATTAAATAATAAAGAATCTGTATGTGTGTTCTTCGTACTGTGGAAAAACGGTGGTAACTATCCGAATATTTGCAGTCATAGTTTCCAGTTTCAAATTTTTTTAAAATATTTATTTCATATTTTGTGCAAATTTAAGGGCATTTTGATTAACGTTTAAATACAGTGTATTACCACTCAGAGAAGTGAAAGATATTTTTGTTTCGGATTTAATCGAAAATTCGGTGATTTTCATATTTAAGCAGTCTATTATGGGATACAAAGTGATTTAAAACCAATAAATGCAAGTCTTCATTTTTAGTATTATTAAATTATTAGCTGCACTCATGACATTATTAAAAGAGGGCTGTAACCACAGAAATGAAATATGTAATTTTCCTATACCTTCATAAACAAATTGTCAAAAAATATGCCAAGATGAAATTATGATTCTATTATAATATGAATTAAAATATGAATTCTGTTTATCTGAATTATAATCGTGTAAAACTGGCTTGTAGTAGCTGTTTTTTAAATATAACTTTCAGAGTTCTGTGTACTGATAAATTATACAAACTAAAGAAAAAAATATGTGGAAGTGACTTATTCTTAATGGTTAGAAATTGGTTTGGAAAACAACAGGTCTCATCTATGACTGTTGTATGATTTATTTGCTGTTAGTGCAAAGTGTTAACATGAAGCAGATATTATCTAAAAACTATTAAGGTACCGTAATCTTTGAGAATTGTGCGTTGTCCACATGAAGAAAGGGGAAAGAATTGCATTTTGAAAATTTCAAATCACAATTTTAACACCTTGTAGGGTATTCAATTATTATATAAATCAAAACGATTGCTACGCTTCCCAATTAATAAAACTAAATCTCAAGCTTTTAAAGAAAATTGAGATCCAAGAATAGAATTTTAGTTTCTTGATCGTCAGTGTTTGTTACTGCATTCTTTTTGAACCATAAAATGGTATCTATAAGAATATATCAAAATATTTAGGAACACAGTGCCATTTGAAAAATTAGTTGACTGTTTGAATAAAATTAAAAAGAAAGATAAATATATACATTTGAACCTCGACATATGAGTTTAATTCGTCCTAGCACTGAGCTTGTATAGCAAATTTCTCATATTTAGAAACAACTTCCCCATTGAAATTAATAGAAATCTAGTTAATCTGTTCTGCAGCCCCAAATATATGAACATAAAAATCAATTTTTCTAATAAATAACATTGGTAAGTAATATAATCATAGTTTACCTTTATCATAGCTTCTGACACAGACCTTTTAACTGCTTCTCGTTAATCCACACCAACAACAGCTTCCTAGCATCTTCAGGAGTTTTGGATAGTGCTTGGAAGTAACGGTAACTCCTTTGGCTACATCATGTTTCTTAATTTCTTCCTGCTTCTTCAGATTAGCGCAGATCGTCCATGTTGAAAGGCTATAAGTCTTCGTCAATTCTATCACTCTTACATCACACTTATGTTTATCTATGATTTCTTTCTTAATTTCAATGGCCATGACTTCCTTATTGTAATTTGCATCACTACCTGAAGCAACAGTTTTCTTGGGAGGTGTTGTGAAATAATTATTTTCATGTTAAATGTAAAAAAAACAATTAACTCACAAGCGCACAAACACATAGATTTAAAAAAAAAAGCACTGAGTGATCGGACGGGGAGATTCCCCAAGTCGAACCGGACTGGCAAATGGCACCACGCATACCAACAGCCTGGCTCATTGCTCGTTACTTGAGTCAGTACTTGTATTTAGAGATGAATTTTTCGCTCATACTTTCCTCATATCTCGAATTTCTCTTATATAGAGGTGCTCGTATCTCCATGTAAGTTCCACTGTTTAAGTTTTGTTTTGAATTTAGTTGAAAAGCAGAATCAGAAATTATGCTAGCACTATATTATGAATATTAGAAATGTATTTTTTATGATACCTGTGGTATAAAATTATGTATATTGGAAAATATTCAGTTGAAATGAATTTTTATTTATTATTGATTTTTATTCATTGAATGATTTGCTTCATTATGCCAATGATCAACTTCTTTAAAATGGATGATGAATGAATAATCTTCATCATGAGTGAGCTACAACTTCTGATTTTTATCGTTAGGTGACAGAAATTGCTAAATGGAAATAATAACACCCCTTTGAGATTTTAAAATAGGTGAAATTAAGTTTAGCACTGGAGTTTATGAGATAATGTTTGCTAAAAGAAAGAATTAGCCAAGCAGCTGCATGTTAGCTATACTGCTCTCATAGTTTACCATTGGCATCAGTGAATACAGTAGTTCTTCATTATGTTGGTTATGAATGTGTTTATTGTAAATTCTATTAATTTATGATAATAACTAACAGCATTTGAAATTATTATTAAAATTGTAGAGAGATAATGCGTGAAATTGTACATTTACGCAAGCAACAAGAGCAAGAAGAAGAAGCATTGAATTCTGAAAGAAATCCGACTCTTCTTGCTGAACTGAGAGCACTTCGTATGAGGAAAGCAGATCTGGAACGTCATCTGTCTGGTTTGCAGGAAAGTCGTCGAGACCTCATGTTACAATTGGATGTGTTAATGAGAATGCTAAAAGTAATGTTTGATTTGCTGAGTTTTTGTAAGTTACAATTTTAATACCAAAAGTGATCGTAAATTTCGTTCTCATACTTCTTGAATTATTTCTTTACATTGCTGTGCAAAAGATATATTTTCTTTGATTAATAGTAATAAATTTAAACTTGTATGATAGCTGAATGGTATTTATCACTATTAAATTAGCATTAACAGTGCCTAATCCATAGCCAGTCTCTTGTATAACTCTTGGTAAATTTATTGTATCGTTATGTATGAATTTTGACTGTCCACATTTTTTAATGGATGTCAAGATGCTTTGACCCCCCCCAAAAAAAGAAGAGGGGGAAAAGTGAGATAGGATTAGTTTTTATTAAACATATTCACATTCCTTTTTGTTTTAATAATTTTATTGTATGAAAACCAAGAATAGAAAATCAAGTAAGGCACTAGATAGATAAAAGTATTTTAAGGCATTTTAATTTTAATTGATACTCTTGGAATAATCATTTTGCTTATGTTAATGGAACAAATAAATTTTTTTGTTGATTTTTAAGTAACATTCCATATAATGAGCATAACTAGGTTTCTAAAATAACTGGATAGATTTCAAGTAGTCTAACTCTATTGAAGAGTGCTGAAATGCATAGGGGAGTTCACAAGAAGTTCTAATTATAAAACTCCTTTCTTTGTACATCCAGTCTTTGGTTATGGTGCCAGATTTTTTATCACTGTGTGAGAAAAACCTATTATCAAAACTTGATATTGTTCAATGATTAAGATTGCTGAATATCGTAGTTCAACTTTGGTTAGATTCCAGGCAAACTGGCTGCTGCATGGTTAGGTCTCATGGTTTTTCCCATGTGTAACGTGAATATGAGATAGTTTGCCTTAGAAAGTCCTCTACAAAGGCATCTCTCCTTAAAACAGCTGGCCACCAGCAGCTAAGTATTAAAGTCATTGAACATTGGTAGTTCAATGTGGGATCGAGTCTTGGGAAATGGACTGGCTGCATGATTGGTTTTCATGGTGTTTCCCATGTGTAGCATGCATACAAGCCAGATTCGCTTAAAAAGTCTTCCATGAAGGCTTACCTCCCCATAGGCAGATAGTCCTTGAGTTGTTTTGTCTTAATCGAACTTGACACAACTAGCCTCATATGCGTTGTCATATTTAAATGTAAACAACCCAACCTAATGTTGCTCAAAATAGAACTTTATTTTATTACTGGCGCTGCAGTCTCTGACTGATGTTTGCAGGGTTCGTACGGTCCTTAAAAGTCCTTAATTTTTTCAAAAATGATTTTTGGTCCTTAAAAGTCCTTAATTTTGGCCAAAATGAATAAACGGTCCTTAATTTTGCTTATTTGACATTTCTTATCATTTCTAATGATTGCCATTCTAAGTGTGAATTACGATTTCTCATGAATATGGAATTAAAATTACACGGCTTTTAACCAATCTGTTGGCGGATTTGCGTTGCAAACGATAAAAAATTAATTACCTAGCTACCGAACGAAAGTATCGGGGTCTGATTGGCTATTCATCCATCAATCTTTTGAAAACAGGTGTTATCCATAAATTTAGGCAGATTGTGACGAAAGCGTGAAGCCGGAAGTTCTTTAAGAGGCGAAAGTGATGATGAAGGTGCTCGAGAAAAAAAAAAGGGGGGGGGGGATTCTGAAAATATTTGCCAAAATTAGAGCAATTCCAACCTGGAAGGCCACAACCCTTCTGACGCCAATAGGAACGAGATGCCCGGAAAGTGCATTTTCAATAAACTGTGGCTTCATCAAGCCACAGTTTACTGAAAGTCCGAGTTTATTGACTACAAAGACTGGATATTGATGGATGGCAATCCTTATTAAAGCTAAATGTGGTCTTTGTCTGAAACAAATTGAAATTTCTAGAATGGGAGAGTCAGCGCTGAAAATTCACATGAAAATTAAGTTTCGTTTTATCATTTCAATTTGTTTTTACACGGTTTGGCTTAGCTTAATTTCTGTGTTTGTTTCAATTAAGCCCTAAATTAATTTTTTATCACCTTCTACGGAGTTTATTCTCTTTTGCACATACTATATGTGTGCGATATTGGGATTATGAGTTTATTTCTGCAGAGGGTCTGTTATCGATTTCGCGGGAAATCTGTTGGCTCCATTTCGATTTTAGGTCGCCAAGGGCAAATTCGGTAACTAGCCTAGAGAAAAAAAGTGAAGTTTCGGAAATACGTTTTGAAGCTTCAATAGACAATTAAGTATTTGGTTTAAACCTATGTTTTGATAGTAATGCATAATTTTTGCTAATGGCGATACAAATTATTAGTTGAAAATAACTAACTAATTAAAAAAATTTTAATTTATATTTTTAAAACTGAAAACAATTGAAACTAATTTGAACTAATTTTCCTGAATTAACTAGATGCAAAATTAACTTTCATGAATTACTAAAGTTATTGAAGTAGAAGTTTAACTGAAAATATACATTCTGTATTATATATATATATATATTATATTTATACACTACAAAGTCCGAGGTCTGGACTCGTCGGGACTTCGGCAATCCCAGATTTGAGATTTTTCTGGATATTAGATCATTTTAAATCTACTAAGATGGCACGTAGAAATTATAAAATTGAAAATATGAAATCGTGATTTATGAAATAATGAAGCATTTATGATTTAAAGGGTATCAAAATTTACAAAGAAAAGAGCTTAATATTTATATGTTTACTTTATTAAACATTTCTTTCAATGTGAGTTGTTTGATTTGTTTTCTCTGCTAATACTTTAGAACTAACTATAGACATAATTTTTCTTGTTCAGTTATTAAGTTCCATTGTTCAATTCCTGTAATTGCTGTGTCGAGAATTCCGAATAACTTGTCAATCAAAATTTTTTTTCTCGTTCAGTAACCTCTCTATTACTTTCTTCACTATCGATAGCTGTATTTTCTGGATTTAGAACCGTACTACAGATTTCGCCCTCCATTAATTGATTGATGATTGGGCATTGTCATCGCAATGAAAAACTTCTGTTTAACTTCGCTAAATTCTGCCGCCTGGTGTGGCCATGCGAGCTCTGGCGTTGGTTCTGGCTTTATGTGAATAACAAATCAGTTATTCTTAATTCAAATAGCACTAAATATAATCGTTTGTCCTATGAGTATCATTAACAAAATCTATTTTTAGCATAAGGAAAGAAATTTCTGCTAAATATCCCCTTGTCAACATTTTAGCGCATTAAACTTAAATCTGTAATCGGATAATACTCTATTATTTGGCGTCGCTGCATGATTCATCACTCAAGTTGTCATCCGTTGATAAACATGTGGTGATGAAAGCAAAATACAATAAATAATGATTCGCGATTTCGGCATCAAGGATATAAAATATTAGTTGGTGTAAAATTAATCAATGTTTCGGTTTTTGAGATTATGCCAAGCAGATACGCAGCTATGGAGTCAAGTTACTAAACTAATCACACAAATTTATGCTAAAATAATTATTTCTTCAATAATGAGAATATTTTATTGAGCGCCAAACTGAGATTTAAGAATCGGGATTTCCGGCATGTTTTTTTATGATGGAGGAAAAAATCTAATGCGCATGCGTAAAGCATGCCTCTTCCCTCCAAAAAAGCCCTAAAAAGTTGGTTGGTGGTGGCTTTGAGGTCCGGATTTTAGATCATTCCAGATAGTTGGATGTCCGGATCTCGGACTTTGTACTGTATATATATATATATATACACATCTTTCAAAATATAACTTACCAGTATGGATTCACTCTTTTAAAATAATTCTACTTTAATTAAACTTAAGGAGATAATATAATCAATTAATCAATATTGTTTAGGAAATAAATTATATCTATATATATATATATAGTAAAAAATGTATATTTTCACTATTCAAGTATTCACTGTGACAAGTATTCTTATCTTGTCACATGAACAGGCCTCTGTGGAAAGGGGCTTCTCTGTAAATAAAGCAATTGAAATTGAAAATTTAAGTGACTCATCATACATTTTTCAACGCACAGTATTTGATTACATAAAATTTTCTGGAGGTGTTCTTAATATCGAAATTAATAAAGAAATGAGATCAGCAGCAGCTACTGCAAGAAGTGGAGTTTGTTATTTAGAAGAACAAAAATCTTTAACTAAATCTGAAAATTCAAAGAGGAAAAGAAATATTATTGAGGAAGAAATTGATTATATGAAGCAGAAGAAAAAATTTCTTCAAAGGGACATTAAAGATATTAATGAAGAAGTAGATGCTTTAGCAGATGTAGCTGAGACCAGCAGGAACATTGATTTGTTTATCAAAGCAAATGAACTTAGAAGAATAGTTAAAGAAAAGGAAATAGACATAAATAAATTAGATGTTAAAATAGCTGAAAAGATTTCAGATTTAAAAAAAGCACAAATGTTTTGTATAAATTATAAAATTGAAATTATAAAATTTTATTGTACAGTTTATAAATCTAGTATCTTTCAAAAAACCAAGGAAATAAATTGTATGTTTACAAATCAGTTATTTTAATCTGCAAAATATTCTTACATTGTGATTATAATAGTAGTTGACCGTGTTTAAATAAATATCAAATAAGTTAAATAATAATCATGTAAATCTCTAAAATAGTGACTGTTATTAGTGTAAAATACACTTATACATGTTTTTCAAGAAATTATGTTCCTAATTTAATATTATCTACTTCATAACTTGTAGGGAGTTAGTTTAATTTTCAAAATTGTTTTATGGTATTTTGTAGTTCATAATTGAATTTAATAATAGTGAATAATTACAAGCATGAAGTCGGTTGTGTTTTTTTTTATTAATTATGATTTTTTTTTGTTGGCTGATAGTCCTTAATTTTTTTTCTTTGATGGTCCTTAAAAGTCCTTAATTTTTTCTTTGATGGTCCTTAAAAGTCCTTAATTTTCATGTAAGGAAATGTGTACGAACCCTGTGTTTGCTATGAAGTTACACACTGTTGTTGAGTTTTTTAGCAATCACTGACTTTAT